CACTTGATATCTGCCAGCCCTTGCTTGAACTTACATTCAGTGTTCCTCACTTGTTGATATTTGTATGCATCCATTTTATGGTAATCATATTTCTCTCCCGCCACTGAATGTAACTCACACCCAGCCCCAATGAAACTTATATTCTGTTGACCATAAACACATTAGTATGTCACTCAGTTGCCTGTTCACACTTTTCAAGTATTGGTTTGTAGGATTTTATCATGACCTGACATCGGTCAGAGAACCATTGGAAAACCTTCATGAGGTACCTGACATTTGTGTCGTCCTAGTTTGGGACTCTTCACTGTATGCACCCAACAGGGTGTGGGCTAGCTCGTAGACCACTAAGCCACTGGTACTAGATCCAATGGCCCATTAATTCCAACTTCTGCCAATTCGTGACATAGCGCGACCGATTCTCAATGTCTTCTTCGATGAGTAACTGTCCTCACCTTCGACCTGCTGTACCCTACCGGTCACGGCTTCCCACGAGAATCCCGGGTAACTGCCAGTAATCCCTTTTGATTTTCAATGGTTCTCTAACCAATGTCATCTCATGATGAAATCCTCCAACCAGTCATAACAAAATCCCTACAAACCAATACTTGAAAATTGATCTGATATTCACACCTTGTCTTATGTGCTGAATGACTGTTCATTTTCTGTACATTCAATTGACAGTACTAACTAACGGACTGTCATTCCATTTTAATCGTAAACCCCAATTCAGTTTCTGATATCATTTTCATCAACATCTACTTTTTTGTTTCCTTCACGTTCCCAGTGGAACATAGGGCTTCAAGCTAATGGCTTGAAGTTTCTGTAGCAGTGTTTATTTTACAGGATGAGGTTGCTAGCCTCATGCCCAACCTTTCCTCTTTACCAGCATTATTTCTGGCTTAGCGAGGTAAAGGAGTGCGTCGGTGGCCGGGGATCGAACCCCGGACCATGTGCATGGTTGGCAAGCGTCCTAACCGCTATACCACCGACGCACATCAACATCTACTGGCTGGTCATTATATTCAAATAATCTGAAATTTATAACCGTAGAGCCTGAAGAAGAAGTTATCGAAAACAACTGTCTGCTCAAAATTCGTCCTGTTCTGATTGAAATATGGGGATTTATAATTTACTAAACTCACTCTGTTGACGATATTATGCCTGGCGTTTTTGTCCATTCTCGTGACTAACTAATACAAGTTTGCATTTTTCATTTGCATGTCATCAGTTGCATACATTTCTATCTAAACAAATAAAAGTATTTACCATGCATAAGTATTGTGTATCCGGCATGTATACTTCCTGGTAATAACAACCATTTTCTCAGTTGAAATGACTATCTTTTTAAGTAGTATAACTCGTATATTACCAGGCAAACTTCATCATTATTCATCTTATTTGCATGTTTTCTGTTTGCCTGTTTGTTGTTATCTAAAATAATTCTGTGTATATATTTACATTCCAAATAAATAAAGGAACACGTGCAATAATTCGTCGAGGAGCTGCTAGCGTTGAACCAGCTGAAGAACACAGAGACTCTCCTCGTGACGATGATGATGATGATGATAATGATCATGAGAATGCGTATGGTTTCCGTGGAACGGATGATAATATGAACAATAATACTGATGAATTTCTTGTCAACTACAGACTACCACGTAGTTCAACAGTTATAACAACAGTAAGCGGTGAACCTTTACTTACGTCACCTGGTACACGATATCATGATAGGACAAATGAAGCGACAATAGCCGGCGGCGGCGGCGGCGTGGGAGGTAATCATGGCTATAATACACAAAATGAACAGTCAAACAAGCAAACACGTGCACATTCACATAATCGTTCCATTTCACCTTACGATAAACAGAGATCAAGAGAGGTCAATGATGTAGATAAAAGTCAACCTAGAAGAAGTACATATCTGTCCGCGACTAATAATAATAATAATAACAACAGGAGTGGGTATAGTGAGTTATATGATTGTTTTATTATTAACAGAGTATTATGAATTTCATACAAGTGGCTGACATATTACATTTTTCTCACATATAGATTAGTCGCTTTTACAGGAGCTCTTGTTTTTAACAGGATTTTTTAAGAGGACGAGGGAAGATGGGAATGCGTCTAGCAAGCCTATAAGGTGAATTATAACTATGCGTGAATACATCTGAACAGAAGGTGGCTGAATAGCCTTACCCGTGTAACCTGAAGATTCTTGATTTGATCCCTAATAGAGTGATGGGAGTTCATTACTGGAGAGTCTCAAGCTAGAACGAAGTGGCTGCCCAGTTCTCTATCATGCTTACTAAAATCCGTTGAATACAACAATCGATTGAGCATCCTCAGTATTATCAACGATACCTAAAACTTCACACCCTTTGAATACTTTCTTTATAAGTCAAGAAATGTTTGTTTGTAAATGCGTTAATTTTTCGGAAATAATTTTATACTACTTTAAATAAAATTAGCATGAATGCATGTCATATTATTTCAACTAAAACAGAATGCTGCTTCATTTGTGCACATCATATTGGATGTCAAATTAAACTACTAATTCGCATTTGAACGTCAGGCATGAATGCATGCTGCAATAAGAAGGCTTAATTCATGTGAAATGTGTAATGCGTATGTATATAGGCAACACATTTTGAACGTTGATCTCACATATACTTATAGTACATATTTATACAGGGTATGAAGAGTCAGAATGTTTGGGGGTGGTCAGGATCACATATATGAAGTGAAAAGTAGAGTCAGAAAAAACCGAAAACATTGTCACATAAAGTAAATCTTAGACATTTGTAAAAACAACTTATATTTGTAAAATTTCAGCCAAATTGAAATGAGTAATTCCAACGTTTCCTGCGTTCGGCAAACTGATCCGAACTTCTTCAGGGAAATTAATCGAAATTAACATAACAGAGGTTAGGACCAGTTTGTCCAATGAAACGTTGAAATTACTCATTTCGCTTTGGCTGAGATTTTGCAAATGTCTACTTCTCACTCGGTGCCCAATTATTTTGGAACTATTCGGTCAAATCTTGATCACAATTCATATGAATAAATCTTAGTTTTAAAGTTGGATTGTCAAGGCGAATTCATAGTGGTAACTAATAATTTTTGAATCAATATATACAATATATAGATGTATATGATTTAATAGTGTGAAATATTCCCATATCATGAATTAAAAGTCACTGTGAACGAAGAATATTCTTTTCAGTAATTTCTCCTCTTTAGGTTCTTACAACTATAAAATAAAATATTTGTTGTCGTTACAATAATGGCCGGTTATCCGGCGGATACATTTTTAACGTAGAATAACAGGTTAGTTATGGAGTGTCATAATAAATAGTATTTGTGTGACAAATGTGGTCTGGGCTGAATTCAATTACAAAACAGTGTGAAATGGGAGACCGTGGTGGTGATTAGTCATAATAGATTCGTACAATGTGGGGTAGGAAAATTGACAAGTCAGTTCAAGGTTATAAAAGGTGTCAGGTGAGTGGCTAGTACAAATTAGTATGTATTAAAGAGGAGATAGTAAGACTGCAATGAGAAGTTCATCATGAAATGACCAATATGTGAAATGAGACAGGTGGAGGCATACATTGAGAAAAGAGATAATATCACTAATAGTAAGTCAGGATAGTATAAATGGAAAATTCGATAGTATTGAGAGAATGTTTGTATGAAGGGTATGAGTTATGACGAATAGTAATAATAACTGTAATAATAAACAAAGAAAAAACCAAGGGGGTTAAGGAGAAGGAGCACTCTTGGTGAGAAGATGAATCAATAATCTAAGTAGGGCCACGGTAGGAAAAGCCTCTGTAGGTGTTCTTTTTGGATACAAAGATGCCGTTTTGTCGATCTTATTGCAACAGCTTCAGCTATGTGTAGCAGACGTAAGCGAACTGTACGTGATAACGACTTCGGAATTTGCTATATAACCCTGAAGGCTGTGTTGACGTGGATGCGATGTCCACTATCGACCAATTTTAACAGAATCTAGCTTTTTATGCATTTAATTTCCCCCTTGCTGAACCAAGCTGTTACATGTTCTCAAACCCATGAACGAACCTGCCTAATCGTACACCCCATATAACTCTTGAACCACAGGAACAGTTGAAACGGGATATACATGACAACAAATATTATATTTTATAACTGTAAGAACAAATTCGCAATTGGCAGTTTACACAGTTTGAGGTGGTGAAATTTCCCCACAGTTTCCTTTGGCAACCAAAATCATTCAGATTACAATTTGTAATCTGCTTTATACCATAACTGATAATCAAGAAAGTGAGCATATACTACTGATTGACTGAATTCAGTAGTCGTAGACCACTTATATCAACTAGTAGTGCTTGGTAGCCAGATCGAAGTGACTTAAATGCCGGATGGCCCTTTCTCCGGTCTGGAGTCGAGTTTATCAGTGGCGTACACAGTTTGACTCTCTTAGACGGCTGAATCAGTTCAAGCCACGTGATCACTTTGCTAATTGAGAAAATGGTTTAAGGTGTTAACAGCTCAACCAATTAGGAAGCCAGAAATTGTGTGGTTTGAACTGATTCAGCTGTTTGAGCTAGGTCAAACCGGGTACATTATCGATAAGTTGGGGGCCCTAAATCAGCGAAATGGTTGTTTGGTGTTTAACTTACTTCCATAATATGTTTGAGGAGCACTACTGATTGATGTGAGTAATATTCAACTGCTCATATAAGTCAACCAGAAGTCTGAGTTATTTCTTAATGTGTTTTGGTAAAAGGGGCAGACAGCCTAACTATTATTACTCCCTTCCGTTCCAAGTGGAACATAGGGCTTAAACAACACACCTCCAAGTTGTTCTGTTTTCTGCCGTCCTCTTCAGCTGGGTCCACGATTGATCCAGTTAACTAGTTAACTCCTTCAAATCATGTCAATATTTAGGTAAATACTAGGAGAACCGCATCACTAGCGGACAATGAACATGAGGAGAATTCAGTGCTTTTTAATAAGACATTTAAAAAGCATATCTGCAAGACATTTTGTAGTCATTTTGACCGAACTCTTTGCAAGCTATCGAGAATTATTGCTTCGGTTTTGAAACAAAGCGATTCATTTATTTGTTAGATAATTTAAGTCTCCCTTAACCGAGTCTTAGTACTCTCAAAACCTAAAAAATCATCTGAACAAAACACACATAGAAAACTTTGCTTATTTAACAGTCTGCACCATTGCACTAGTTACTAGCTAGTGTCCAATCAAAGTGGCCAATACAGTTCTACAGGAGGTTAGTCTTGAGCTTTGATAGCTTGATGGTAACGTCTACGGTAGCAGCACTGGATGACCCAAGTCGAAATTTCAGAAGGAAATGAGTTCCTTCAAGGTTGCAGATAAGCCTTGCTGACGAGTGCCTCCAAGCATCTAATACTTTGCATAACGTTGGGTAAGCAAAGGATAAAATCTCTTCACAGACAACTGGTTTTCAGTTCAGAATATAAAACTTGACAAATATGAGTAAATTTTACTTATATAATTGTTATTATTTCTTTTGTGATAAAAGATTCTCGCAACAGACATAGTCGACGTTCATCATCACAAACCAATGAACATGATATGTTGATTCCAGGTCAACCGTTAATATATAACGCCACGATAACATCTGTTAACCGATCAGGTCATGGTTCACGTGGACCATATACCAGTCTTGGTCCAGGTCATTTTCGTATAGCTGGAAAAGCACCATTAGCTTACGATACTACCTCTGTTGGAACTACAAGCCCAGTTCAAACACCTAGACCAACTATGCAAGATGCATTACAATTTTCATTTGAAAATGATCGTGTACAACGTAATTCACTGTTGATTTCATCAAATCAAAATGAAAAACCATTGAAACCTGTACTGTTCGAAGATGAAGTGATCAATAAATCCTCGAGATCATGTTTTACATCATGTCTCCAATGGATTTCATCATTTTTCCGGAGATTATTTGGTCGTAGCGATGAATCGATGAAATCTAGGAAATCTGGCAATCTTGGACAAGATCCAGGTGGGATTAAAGGACCTAAAGAGTTTGCAACGCTTCGAGCAATGGCCGCTTTAGCTGCAGCGACAGCAGCAACAGCTGTAGCCGATCCAACAAAAGCTGCTCAGGGAGGTAGGTCAGCTCAGTTTTGTTTTTATCCCAAATGAATTCCTGTCCTCTTTGTTTCCTGATTTCGCGTTAGGACGGTTTGGGTTTCAGGAATAAGACAAAACTTAATAAAGCTGAGCAGCCTTGAAGACAAGATTTCACTGCGTATAACGCCAGAATTCACAGCTTGATCAAAAATGAGTATCAACCAAATTGCGTCTTTCATAACTGGGCCAGTCGGGTAGACCGTTGATGAGCTTTAAAAACAGAGCTAGAAAGCACTACTGTTTGATTAATTATATATTATTGCTATAGTTCCCTTGTGTTCTCAGGGGAGCATGGGTCTTCATCAGCATGTCTCTGCTTTGTCCTATTTCCTGCTGTCCCTGTTAGCTGGGCCCACAATTGCCCATAGTCTCTTATCTCTTCCAACTCAAATGATCTCCTCTTTGTTACCTTCAGCCCTATGCCCAACTCTTCATTTCCTATGAGGGTTCCACTGGAACAATGGCCTAACTAATGCGTAACGGTCTCCTCCGTGGCGTGGGCCCAATCCATCTTCATTATCTTCTACATATTCGTTGAGCGGCAGGTTCTTGATTAGTTCGTGTCCATAGTTTCTTGTTGCTAATTCTTTCTGGCCGGCTGGCCATTTGATCCTCAGTATGTAGCCAGGGAAGGTAACTGTTGGTGAAAGTCTGTAGTAAGCTGTTGGAAGTGGTTTTCGTGATACGCATATCATGTTTCTGAACAATATAGAGAACCTGAGTGACTAAGCGTTTGTGTTGAAAACCTGAATGTTGTTCTTTATGCTGTGTGCAGAAGATTTCCAAACTGATTTTAGAGTGATGAAGGAGTACGATGCCTTTCTGATCCTGATTGGCTCTGACATCTTCATATGTCCCACTGCCTGTAGTTGAAACGAGGCTTCGTATATGAGTGAGGGAGGTAATTTCCGTCAAGTTTCTCCCGTTAATGGTGATTGGTGTTGGTTGTTGTTACTGTCGCTGTTTGTTGGTTATCTACAACACCTTCGTCTTCTCTATAATCACCTGGATTCCTGTCTTCGTTGCTTACCTCTTCTGCCAGTTTGCTGTTTTTCGCCTGTAAGTCTTCGAGATTGTGTGGCATCAGACATAAATCATCCACACCCGAAATACAGATCTTCTAGAGTCTTCTTATCGGTCAGTCCGACGTATTTCGGTCTTTTCGCTCCCCATGTACAGTCTGACGCATAATCCAGTTCACCACAATTAAGAAAATATCATCGGTAATTATAGACAACCTTGTCTTACTCCTGTATTCACTTCGAACGTTTTGCTGAGTTTTCCGTTTTGGATCATCTGACAGTTGACATTCTCATATAGCCAGCTGTTGAATGAAGTTGACAAAAACTTGAGTACTTCACGCCATAGTGTTGAAACAGTTTCCAAATTACTTATCGGTTAACACTGTCTGTCGAAGGCGTTCTCGAAGTCCATGCTTCGTTCGATGATGATGCAACGAGTTGTAACTTGATCAGCACATAATTTGCCTTTGCTGAGACCAGCTTGTTCCGTGGAGGTGGCCGAAGTCTGCATCTAATGCCCCCCCCTTATTATCTCCAGGATGACGCGAATCGTTACTACACTTGGGCTGGACAAGAACATTATTCCACACTAGTTCTTGCAGGGGTGTAAGTCACCCTTCTTTTGTAGTATCACAAGGTAATCTTTCTTCCAATCAGTAGGTACATTTTCTCCCTGCCAAACGTTTTCCAATAGTGGCGCGTTTGGAAGGAAGAGAAATGGCTTCCAGCTACCTACCTAGCATACAGATATTCCTTCTGAAAGTGTGTATTAATAATATAGACATTTGACAAAATTGGAGTTCTCCAGAACCTGAAATCTCACAAATATATCCAACTACCTTTAAGTGAGCACAGTAACTGCTCAAAAATCACTCACTTCCTCACAAAAATACCATAAGGTTATTTAGCGCTCCTGTGTGAGGGGAAAAATTACACCACTTATTCTTTCTTTAAGCACTGATCTATCGTTTCTCTCCATTGAATGTATATAAAATGGCGTGAAACGCAAACAAATCTATTGCCTTTATTTTTCTATCAGTTATGGGAGAGAGAATTCAGCAAAGTTATTTATAACTAGAGTCCCAGTTGAAGTAAATTTCTTCGCCTTAATTGTTTTATAAATGTAGACGAAAAACAATGACAATTATTAGATATTTCATGTTAAACACAATTAAATTTCCACTTGAAACTTTTGTGATTGTTAATGCCGTTCTAATGAGCTGTAGTAGTAATTATAGTAGTGGTGTTTGCCTCACCATCAAAAATATTATTATTTCTTATCTTGTGAACTAGTTTTCTACCTGAGTGAACCGATTATTATTACTATTATTTTTGTTCCCTTGGGTTGCGAGTGAATTATAGAGCTTTAACAACACATCTTTATTTCATCCTGTTTTCTGCATTCCTCTCTAGCTGGCTTCATGATTGCTCATAGGTCTTCATCTGCTCCATATCAACCTCGGACGCACCCCTCGTAGTTTCCAATTTGTGTTAGACTCGAGCGATGGCCTGATGCGCGATGTTATTCGGCTGGCCCGTCAGAGAGTGCTTAATCCATCTCCATTTTTCTTCTGCATATTTGTTGAGCAATAGGTTCTTGGTAACGTCGTGACGGCCATTTGTTGACTCAATGTGCTCATGGTTGTCATCGGGGTGGCTGTAGTAGATTTCTGACTCTCCAGCTGGCAGTTTTGATAGTCCGCATCCATTCTACCTGCTCTCACAGATTTCTAGCACTCCTAAGTCACATCTCATTTCTTTGGCGACCTGAGCAGCCTTCATAGCTGACTTCGTACATTGTACGAAGACTCCACATTCACATTCTTATGACTAATTCCACATCTGCTGACTGGATTCTCGAAGGCTTTCACCAGCCCGCATCATTTGTTGTGTGTTGAAGTTTCTGTAGCAGTTTGATTGATTTTCCGGGTTAGGGTCGTCAGTCCTAAACCCAACGCTCCCTCTTTTTCTGAGATAGGGACCGGCTAGAAAACTAACGAGCTAGTAAACTGGGTGAGGTTGAGTGGACCGATAGAAGTATTATTTATGTTTCATTTATATTATACTTTTCTGTGCACATGTTTGCAATTGTGTGTATATGTGTTCCCTGGTTTTGTAGAACAGTCAGCCTATATATATATATAATATATATATAGACAAACGTCATTTGCCCTTTTGCATCGTTTGTAGGCACTCATTTAAGCATATTTCATGAGTACACATTCAATGTCTACAAACTGACTGTCATTTAAACAGGTTCAAGTATTTGTCACTATGGCTTTTGATAAAAAAGACATCACAGATCTTATGATAATTTGTTTGACCTAACATTTTAAACACTTTACCAGTATAAAGTCCTAACGGATTACATAACTGACCGTACGCGACTATATTTTTCGCTATCATGGGCGGACATAGTTAGCCTTCTCCTAATGTTAGGAACAAAACTGATTCTTTGTGGTCTTTAAGAAACGCGCGGTCACAAAACTCTACTAAGACACGAAAAAAGCGAATATTTTTCGATAAATTTGTGGTTCCGTTAAACAACGGTAACATCAAAAACTCAAAAATGCCTCAATAATGCCGTTAGGCAACTATTCAGTCAACGTAAATAAGCACAAAAGAAGCTCTTAAAATCTAATAGAATATTTCCAACAAGGTGGGATCAAATCTCTGTCTCTAAGGATCACACGCCTATGCTTCCCGCCAAAAAACCCCAAGGTCATTCTGACCTTGATTCACTCAAACGAAATCACACAGTAAAACAACACATTATCAATATATCAGACAACCACAAAGAGAAGCATTAAAATTTGAGATTAAACGAGGACAAAGATAAATGATAAGGATGAAGTCGAGAGATGATTTGCAAACATCAGAATAATGACACACAGTCTAAGGGAAAAACAGATAATAATTACAAAGTTACTTGAAATTTCCAAGTAAGTATCAATGGTATAATTAGGTCGTTCAGGAAGTATTTTTCAAGCAATTTTTCCATTACACCCAATACAGCTAAGAATGCGCTTGCATGTAGCTACTGGACTCCAGTATACAGAAAGTATCTCAGTGTACATTGTATGCGATTTATTTTATCAGTTTTAATTTTGATTTCTCCTCTGTTTCATTTTATTCTTTTAGCAAGCGTTTCTTATATTATTTACTGTAACACCGTCGTTAATTAAGTACCAGGGTGACCTTGAAATTGAATGTGCCGCCATTTTATATGGTTGAGTAAAACAAATAAGCCATAAAAAATTAGGAAACATCAGTCCTAGACTGCTCTGTTTCAAATCACTTAAATATATTTCAACTTCCATTACTTTGTACACAATTCAATCTCGTATTAGTACACTCTGTAACGACCAGACTTGAGGCGTTGAGGTCTGAACGTGGCAAAACGATGTTTGCAATCTACTGTATTGCTGATCAAAACTTCCTTCAGACTCGCACAGTCACAAAATGCCCCACTGACAACAAAGTTGTTTATTTATAGTTAAATCTGTGGTTTCATTCAACAAGCATAACACATCAAAACACAAAATCACCTCAACAACTGCTGTTAGGCAGATCCAATAGCTTGTTGACTGAGAATCAAGAAGAATATACCCAGCGAGGTGGGATGAAAACTCTGTCAGCAAGAATCACACACCAACAATTCTTGCAGACAATTCAAGGTCGGAAAGACCTTGACTCATTCAAACACAACCACAAAGAGAAACATGAAAATCAGAGATCAAACATAAACAACGACAACTAACGCATGATATGCAAATGTCAGAAGAAGGAGTAAAGAGTAAGATAGGTGTAGAGTCGATTGAAATGTCCAAATAAGTACGGAAGTTGCAATTGTATCTTTCAGAAGGGATTTTGCAAAACAATTATTCGATTGCATGCATTACTTACACTTCAGAACACTGTTTTAGAAGACCTCTAGCTAGATGAACAAAATACTGCGTTGTTTATACACACCAATAAATAGATAGATGGATAATAACGATGGATTTAGTGGAAATTATTGAAAATCAGAAGAGAATATGGGTTAAGGAGTATTTTGAATCAATTACCATTTTAAACTGACAGTCACCAAACCGTCTTTCATACTATAGTCAATACAGAACTGAGTTTGAGAACGCAAAGACTGTTGATCCCTAAGAAATATTTGACATTTTCATATGTATATTTGTCTATATGTATAGATATTTTTTATGTTTCCACTAGTTTTTAATGCTCTCTCTATTTCTTTCTCTTTTCTCTCTCTCTCTTGCATAACTTTATTGTGTAAAATCTATTTCAGATTTGCTTCTTCCTCCAGGTTTCCTTGATCCAGGTACTATATATGTTGTTGTCCATATTTTGAATTGCATTTTTCTGCATTTACGGGCTTACTCATTGTTAGGGGATGACCATGCTCCAAAAGGACTATAAAGTGAACGAAAAAAAACCCCTTCGACAATGAGTAGTCATTAGAAATGTAGATCTTGATTGGTGATGATAACTTGACTGATTGATCCCTTGTCTGTTTTAAATGATTGATTCACTAGTAACTTGCTTGAACGGATTCATTGTCTGTGTTGATCCATCCGTCCGTCAGTCCGTCTGTCTGTTCGTTTGTCTGTTTGGTTAGATATATATATAGTTGTAGATAGAAAGAGGAAAATTGGCTACTAATCTTACTAACAATCATGGGGTGTAATATTTCCTAATTCCCTTTATGTTTGCCCTCAATGGTAGAACAAATCCTGTTTATTTCTGCTTAACTGTTAATTATTTATCAATGGAATCATCATTCCCATTGCTTTATGGATCAGATCCACTATCTGTGTATGTGTGTGTGTGTGGTGGTGGTGGCTATTTTTAAAATCATACTTTCTGCTCAGTGTGTATAGTTTTTTTGGTTTTAACAGCTTTTATGTTGTTATGCTAATCAAAGTGAATAGGTTAGTGGAAAAGCATTCAGAAACAAGGCAGGCTCAAGTGGTCGGTCACTATCAGGTCGAATTGTTTTAATATATCGTCATTCAGCTATAACATCGCTGAATATCACTGGTTACAGCTCACTTTTGTACCCCTAGAAATGGTCACTTACAAGAGATTAATTGAAATTGATTGAGGTAGATTTTATCAGAGACTTGTTTATGGGATGATTCAAATAATGGAGCAGAGCAGTTAATGAGGGTGGAGGTTTTGAGTGGTGGTTAGCCGGCCTAGAGATGACTCATAGCACATTAACTTTCGATATACATAGAAGAAAACTGCATTCTTCTGCAGAATTGAATATTATTTATCCGTTGTTTGAAATGACACCAACATCTCTGTTCTACATTAGTAATAATTATAATAATAGCAGCTTTATTGTGAACTTTGTTTATATAGTGTACAGAATTTTCAGCGGAATTTATTGCAAAATATTTTGTCGTCTTCTAGGATCTGAAAAGAAAAGATTAATTGACGGTAGACTGTGTGACAAGTTCTCTGACTAATCATATGACATCTCTTCTTTGTCTCCTTCGAGATGTACACGACATTTTGTTGGTGAATGCCAATTATAAAAAAGTTCAGAAGTACATTTTGTGAATGAGGGACATCACCTGGGGACGATCATCTCATGTATTGGGATAAGCTGCTATCCATTGAGGATAACATTTTAAATACTCGAGAGAGTAAAATATACTTTTAGAGGTCATACTTTAATAGATTTAAATAAAGTGAACAAGAGGCATTCTATGTTATATACAATAATGGAGGTTAATTGCAGCTCAGTTTTTAAGCAGGCCACTGCGAAATGTAATCGTCAGAATAACTGATTATAAACATGGAAGGTACTTCGAATTTTGTATGATAGTGGAAAATAATTAGACATTTTCGTCTATCGAGAAAACAGTACGCTCTTTAAGCTGTCACAACAAGCGATTCTTCTAAAGTATGCGTCTGTCTAGTTTAATTTAGCTGCAGAAAAGGTATCTGCATACTTCAGTCTACCTTTGATAAGTAATTGGTACTCCCTTGAGGCTATACGCCTAAGCTGACCATTGATCAGCCTTACATAATGACAGTGATGATGCGAAAACATTGTCATGGATTCGCTAATTCTAGCATAGAAATCACCTAAGAAACATGGTTACCTATGGTGAACGTCGGTCGGTCGGTTTTCGACGTAGAACTTTGCACATATGTGCGGCAGTTCAAGTCACCACACTCCATGTAGTACACAAAGCAAGAAAAGAAAGTAGGAGAAATGCATAATATAGACAGTAAACAGAGGTGTGAGACAAAGGAATAGTAATAACGAAGAACAAAACAGTTTCATTGGAAATCATAAGTCACAAGGAGTGGATGCATCTGCGCCATTGAGAACGATTTTGAGTCATGTCACTAATTGTTTCCAACCATTGGTTTTACCGTCCCGAGGACCCCAACCAGGAAGTCTACACCTTCCTACGTGGCTGGCTTAGACTAACTGTTGTAGATTTCATTGACTGGTGCTATGTTTTCGTGAACGTGAATGCTACTCAAAAGCCACTTGCACTCCTATGCTGCTAGCAATGAGTTACAACTACTGTATGTGGGGGGGGAGAGCTAGTGATACTACCTGGATGTCCAAGCCTCGGTAGGTAGAGTGGTGTTTGAACTATTGACTCACTCGTTGAAAACTGAACGCCTAAATCACTCACCCACAACTCATTCTACCTAGCATGCACATATATATATAAATACAAATACATAAATAGTAATTATAAAGTGTTAGTATTTAACACCATTAACTTGTATTTAATAAACATTTTACAGTAAGAATGTTACACCTAGACCATACAGATACTGCTACAGAAGACTGTAAGTACCTTTGCTTTTTTTTAAATTATACTTACCTATTTATTGCCTAACTAACAACGTGATTCACTCACTCAATCCATTTAAAAAAAGAACAATGAGAAATTCATGTACTGTTCCACTTTTTACCAAGCAAAATTAACTTCTGCATGTTTTTGCTTTCATTCCTTCGCGTAATTAACTGAATCCATTGATGTCTCCCAATCCTCCTCTTCCCATGTCTCGTTCTTGTGCGCTCCGACCTCAAGAGAACTCTATGTGCGTCAGTGTATTTTGTCCGCTTCTCTGTGTGTGTTTGTGTGTGTGAGTGGGGGGGAGGGGGTTCCCAATGTAACTATTGTGTATATTATGTCTGTATCTGCATTTGTGTAAATATTTGTACATGTTTGTGTATTTGTGAGCTTGCTTGCTTTCCCAATTTTTTGGTATTTCCTCGTAAAACCTCCTTTTTTCTCCTCTATTTTACCCCCTTTTTTCCCAAGAAGGAACTTTTTTATGTGCCTACAGTGATGTCTGAAATGCTCAATTAAATAAATAACTAATCCATCAGTAATTGCATGAAAAATCATTAAAAAAAAGTATAAAGATACAAAGAGATAACAACAACACTTTAATGTGTGAAGTCGAAAATTCCGCCTACTTTAATTATGGTGAAATTAAAACAATGACTTTCATTGATTAAACTTTCAATGTTCATTATTCTCAAGTGTTTTTTTTGTTGTTAAAAATGACTAGTTTGGAAACAAAATAACGTCGGATTGTCTGAGAAGTAGTAAGACTTTTTATTAGGTGAAATTAAAGTTCTACAGTTCAGTTCACTTTATGCAAAGGTAATTTGTATTTTAATAACTTTCTGGATAGGATACTCCTTCCGGTTCTATTTCTTTTTCTAGCATCTCTAAATGCGGAATATTGAATTCTTCTAGTGAAGATAAACTTCACACTACTTATTTGTTTCCTTATAAGTAGTTTATGTCGATTGCCTGCCGCTGAGATATATATTGATTTCAGTACACCAACTATTACCGATGGTGGACTGGATTACGCGGAAGAATCTGGAGAGCAAGAAGAATGAAATGCATTGGACAGATAAGAAGACTGCAAAAGATCTGGAATTCGCAGGCGACTTATGTCTCATGAATTCCGAGACTTACAGGCAAAAGCCAACGAGTTGGAAGAAAATGCAGCAAAGGTAGAACTCCCAGTGAACATAGAGAAGTCGGAGGTAATGGAGATAGCTAATCACTATTGACAGGGGAAATATGAAGAGGCTACTTCCTTTACTTATCTAGGCATCATTGTTTCAATTATAGGCAGATGGTACGGATGAGTCCGGCGAAGCCAGAACCGGAAAGGTAAGGCAGTCCTTCATCACTCTGAAGGTGATTTGGAAATCTCCTGCACTCAGCGTAAAGAAGGAGATTCGGATTTTCAACGCTCATTTTAAGTAAGTAAGTCAGTGTTTCTGTATGGGTCAGGAACTTGTTGAAAGCGTCACGAAAATCATATCCAACAGACTACTGCAAACCTTTACCAACGACTGCCGTCGCTCCATATTGAAGATCAGATGGTTGTCCAGAAAGAACTGACAATAGCAAATTCTTGCGACGAATTAATTAAGAATACATTTCCCAGCAAATATCTTGAAGAAAATGAAGATGAATGGAACACACACCATGGAGATCGTCGAATGACATCGCGCTCCAGGCCAGTCCTCAAATGGAATCTGGGTGAGAAAAGATGAGTTGGGTACTCAAGGGTGATATGGAAAAAATCGTGTGAAGAGGGGATGAAAGATTATGGGAGGTCGTGAAGACAGCTGAAGAGGTCTTCATGGAACAGGACAAAATGTAGATGGGGTGTTTAAGCCCTATGTTGCACTCAGAACCCAAAGGAACAATAATAACGGAAACAAATCTCCATTTAGACATTTGGAAGACAAAATGATTGAGTGAGGAGATATTTATTTCTCACTTAGATCCTCACCTGTGGTTCTTCTACCCTAATATATGTAACATTTTTAATGCATTACAAAAATTCTTGTCAATCTCATGGTAGCGATAAGTTTGTTAACAATAATTAGTCAATATCAACATGTCAAACAAGAGTGACAATTAACCAGAAAATCATGACAACAACTAAAGAGTAGCAATAATTGCAAAAATTACACAAGTGGATTGCGTAAGACATAATTTTAGAAAAAACAGCAGCAATTAAGAAGTAAATGAATGTTCAAATCGATTACGTAATAAACAGTTGAAGGTAAAACAGTCAGAAAAATAAAATCATTTGGACAGTGATAACTTACAAAAGATTTAAAGCCTGGGGGAGGGAAAGAAATTGTCAGTGTTTTACGTTCATGTAACGACCGATGTTTAAGTTATGGAAAATGGCTGCGAGAACTTCCTCTGAACACACAGGTTTAACTTCTTCGGATGGATCCCAATGGCCTCAGTTGTAGGTAGAAGACCTTTGAAGTTTCGATAGCATTAGTTTTATTTTTACGGGGTGGTATTACAAGCCTCACCTAGCCCGACCTTCCCTCTTTACTGGCCTTAATACCGGTTAATAAAAGTTTAAGAGTTTGTCTGCCAACCGACGATAGAACCCCGGACCGGGTGAGGTGTAGCTAGCGAGTGTTCTATCGCTGAACTACGGCCGTACATAAATATCACAAACTGACGTAGTATGTCACTGGAAATTCTTCATATGTTACAGTCATATGTACTTATTGGCATATTTAGGGAGAAATAACGACGTTTCTTGTCAAAGTTATTCATATTTGATTAAAACAACCTGTAGACTAAAATTATCAAAAAGTTGTTTCATGCCGTCTTACTATCTTCAGTGGTATGCTTAATAATAACAGTAATAATAATGTTTCTTTTTCAAGTCTTGGTTTGCAGGGATCTGAGTGATTGCTTACAGGATTTCATCATGAGTTGGCAGAAGTTGCAATTCATGGGCCGGCCATTGGATCGGCTCCCAGAGGCTTAACGGTCTACGAGCTCGTTGGCCTTGTGACCGGAATGTCCTGGATTTGAACCCTGACGATGGGTGCGTACTGTTGAATAGTCCCAAACTGATGGGACGAAACAGCTGTCCAGTACTCCCTGAAGGTTTTCCAATAATTCTCTGACCTATGTCAGCTCATGATGAAATCCTGTAGGAGAGGATAAAAAGAGCCGATTATTTTGCTAATAACGTGGTAAGTCATAGGTTTCTCGCTTAACATTACCTCTATCACATAGGAAGCGTTCAAAATATCGTATCGATGAGTTTCTGCACCTGGTTGTAAGTGCATATAATCTTGTATTATAATGACTTCCATTCCTACCAAATGAAGTACAAGGCAGAGAGAGTTGAGAATAGAGGGAGTATTGATTGTCAGACAATATGGATTTGGACTATTTCTCATGTGAGTTCAGCTGTTTGTCGACTAAATTAGTGACGAGCTGACTAAATGGCACATGACTTACCCTACTGATAACCTTTAATAACACGCAAACTGGTAATATCGAAAGTTCTTTTATCCTGTCTAACTATCTTCAGTGTTATGCTTGTTTATTCCTTTAGCATACCAAAATTTATGAAAAACTAAAACACATTTTAATAGAATACCTCTAAAATAAATTATGAATACAGTCTCATTAATTAGAAGTGCGCATCAAATGTTTTCATCATTGAATTCTAAATTATGTGTTACAAAACAAAAAGTGAAGACTTTTCATTTCCGCATTAATATGTTGTATAATTACGTGATAGGCATCGATTCCCTAATACATTCACAGACAAGCGAACGAATACAGCCACTTGACAATTTCCCTTTCTACCTCAACCTCCGTTATGCCTCTTTTCTTTTATTGTGTTTAATCATTGTGACTAGTTAAAAAAAAGGCCGTACCCTTCCACTATGCACGCTAATGGTAAAAACATCAGACGTCTCCTACTTCACATAAATTTTCGCTTTTCAACTGTGTATGCTCTTACTCTTTCTCTCTCTATCTCCTTGTCTGTCTAGTGTCTCAATAACAAAATGATGAATGAAGGGATCTCAAAGTCATCATTTTGCATTTTTTGTGCACGATCATTAATCATCGACAGTTGTTTGTTTGTTTTGTTTTTTCATAATTTCGTGTTTCGCCCAGTATGTCGCAGTTTCGCCTTCTCATTGTCTCCTCAATCCTGCTAAGTACTTCTGCGTGTGTTTGTCTGCTTTTGTGTGTGTGTGTGTTAACATTAACCCATCTGTATCCCGTTCTCCCTCGTCAATGTCTTTATTCTAAAAAGTATTCATTTGTAAATGGGCGCTTAAAGTGGCTAGTGAACTCGTTAATCGTCTAATTTAACCTTATTATTATTATTATTAATCATACTAACATTCGGTATATGTATGTGTATAAATGTCCGCTAACATTTAATGCTCCTACGCTAACAACGTTTTGAAGTGTATATAATAAACTAGTCTGTGCCACTTCCCTATTCTTTCTTGAATTGTCTGTCGCTTTTTGATGCTAATTCCATTCTTCATATATTTTCTTCCTTCTCTCTTTGACAATGCCCTGTTTTTGTCTCCGCGCCATACTTTTGTTCAATCAATGCATCAATGCTTCCGCTTTATAATTAACTTCGGTATATATATGGACACATGAAACGAAAAACTCGTGGTCATCCGTCCGTCGGTTTGGATAAAAAAATCTTCTCTTCAACGCAATGTGTGCATGGCGGGCATAATATATATAATATACGTACACACACGTCTATAGATGAAGAACAGACGAAATCAATACAGTTGGATCGTCCAGCTAGAGAACTTTTAATCTGGTCAATTTTAGTCGGTAAACTACGTATGGCTGAATTATTTTGGACAATGGAAAAAGTAATTAAAATTATTACTATTATTATTATCTATGAAATGATAGTACTTATTAGTAGTATAACATTAATTAGTATCAATAACTATAATAATAATAATGATATGCTTTATTCCAGAAACAGTACTACTGGTACAGTGTGGAATTTTCACCACATATCTACAATATTTGCATCTAATTTTATCCAACGTTTAAAAGGAGTATTTCAAAAAAATAAATAAATATAAAGACAGCAACATCAACAAAACAGGAAAATAATTATTTAAAAATGTGAAAAAATACCAAGAAGTAGAAAGGAAAAATAAACAGCATATAATAATAACTCAGTATTGGGTAGTGGAAGCTATGATATGATTATGTATGGTGGCAGTAAAGCTATAGTCATACAAGAAGTTATGAAATTATATTTAAGAATGTTTACAGGCAAGATGCAAGATATACACAAGGCGACAAGGATTTCACCAGATGGACACACCAAAAACCAGATAGACTTCATTTCAATCTCAAGGAAGTGTAGACGGAGCCTACTGGACACAAGATCGAGGAGAGGAGCAGATGTAAGTTCAGACCACTATCTAGTACAAGGGACTTTCAAGGTAAAGCTGAAAGCCTCGAGGATACCTGGGGATAGGCCACAGTGCAAGTTCAACACGCAAAAACTGAAGGACACAATCACACAGGACATTTTCACTGCAACTGTCAGAGCAAAGCAGGAAACACTACGTGGCACCACTGAGGAATCATCCGTGGAAGACCACTGGAACTCTCTGAAGGTAATTTTCAACGAAACGTGTTCAACGGTTTTAGGAAGAAAGAAGAAACAAGACAAGGAATGGCTCTCAACAGACACTTGGAAACTAATAGAGGAGAGGAGAGTGGTGAAAGAAAAAATGATTCAATGCAAAGATGGACAAGAGAAGGAGACTCTGAGCTCAACTTACACAGCACTGGACAAAGAAGTGAAGAAGAGTGCCAGGAAGGACAAAAGACAATTCTACGACAACCTGGCTACTGAAGCTGAGAAGGCAGCAGGCAAAAGGGACCTGAGGACACTATATCAGATAACCAAGTCTCTATCCGGGAAGAGATCAACACAAGTGAAACCTATAAAAGACAGCCAAGGGAATCCAATTACCAAAGAAGAAAGACAGATCAAACAATGGGCGGACCACTTCAAAGGACTCTTGAACCGACCACCCCCTACAACCCGTCCAGAAATACCAACAACAGCACGCGCACAACTGCAAGTTGACACCAATCCTCCAACGAAAGCTGAATCCTTGAATTCAATCAAGCTTCTGAAAGCTGGAAAAGCAGCTGGACCAGATGGAATACCCCCGGAAGCACTGAAAGTGGACCCAGAAACGACGGCAGATATGCTGACTCCATTATTGCAAAAGATCTGGAAGGAGGGGAAGGTGCCTACTGACTGGAGGAAAGGTTACCTAGTGAAACTACCAAAGAAGGGCGACCTAGGACTCTGCAAGAACTGGCGAGGAATCATGCTCCTGTCGACGCCAAGTAAAATCCTGAGTCGCATCATCCTGGAGAGAATCAAGGACACACTGGATACAGAACTCCGACCAGAACAAGCTGGATTCAGGAAAGGCGAATCATGTTCTGACCAAATTGCAACTCTACGCATTATCATCGAACAAAGCATGGAATGGCAATCAAACCTCTACCTCAACTTTATAGACTTTGAGAAGGCCTTCGACAGCGTCTACCGCGAAGCAATTTGGAAACTACTCGAGTACTACGGCGTACCTCAAATATTCATCAAACTTATTCAACAGCTGTACGACAACGGCACATGTCAAGTGATCCACAACCGAAAACTCAGCGAGGTGTTTGGAGTAAACACAGGAGTCAGACAAGGGTGCTTATTATCACCAATGATATGATTCCTAATTGTGGTGGACTGGATTATGCGTCAGACAGTGGGAAACGAGAAGACAGGGATATCCTGGACCGACGTGAAGAATCTAGAAGACCTGGATTTCGCAGATGACTTATGTTTGATGTCACACAAAATCGAAGACTTACAAGCGAAAACCGACAAACTGGTCTAAGAAGCAGCCACAGAAGACAGGACTGTAGGTGAACATAGACAAGATGGAGGTTATGAAAATAACCAACCAGCCACCACCAACAACAACAGCTGCAGAAACATCCAGCGCCAATCACCATCAACGGGAAGATTTGAAAGAGGTTACTTCATTCACTTACCTAGGGAGCATTGTCTCAACTACAGGAGGAACGGACAAGGATATCAAATCGAGAATCGGGAAGGTGAGAAACACATTCATCAACCTGAAACCAATCTGGAAATCTTTATCACTCAACTCAGCATCAACAACAAAATTCCGATTTTCAATACTAACGTCAAGTCAGTCAGTTCTTCTATACGGATGGATCAGAAACTTGGCGGGTCACAAAGAATATTTCCAACATGTTGCAGACATTTACCAACAACTGTCTTCGTTCTATACTCAAGATCAGATGGCCGGAAAGAATCACCAACAACAAACTATGGGAACAAACAAAACAAGAACCAATCGCCCAACAAATACGCAGGAGAAAGTGGAGATGGATTGGACACTCGCTGAGCTGAGGAGGCCGCTGAGTGACATCGCGCGTCAGGCCAGTACTCGAGTGGAACCCGAAAGGGAAGCGGCGAGTGGGACGTCAGTGCAAGGGTGACATGGAGGAGATCGTGTGATGAGGAACTGAAATAGTATGGATTAACATGGATGCAAGTGAAAAGTACAGCAGAAGACGGAAGCAAGTGGAGGCGTGCAGTTGAAGCCCTATGTTCCACTAGGAACCCAAGGGAATAATAAATAATAATAATCGGCAAAATGATCATTTAATTTGGTTGAAACAACACTAAACAATCATAAAATAACATTTCAGACTTTTTATTGTCAGCTCTAATGCGGTGTTTGTAGTGGTAGTGTGAGTAATCCTGCATAATACAAAATTTTAAGGGTGACAATGGCGTTCACAACCAATGATTGTCAGTTTAATACTGCCGAAAAATAAATAATATGAAAAAACAACCACAAAAACTAATAATTACATGATGGTTAATGGCAGGAAAATTTTGTACTACTCATAGTGCTAATATAGTCGGAACAAGCAGATGCACAAAAGAAGGAATACGGTAAAGTACAAAAAAGGAAGCCAATGTTAATAATTTAGGTAGCTAAGTATGTTTGAGAAGGAGTTCACTATAGAATACAAAATAAGAGAGAAATAAAAGAGCCTAAAATTATATTATTCACAACAGAGCAAGTCACAGGTTTCACGCTTAACATTGTCTCTGTCACTTAGAACACCGGCCAAGTATGGTATCGTTGAGTTCCTGTATTTGGTTGTACGAGCATAGATTATTTTATACTGATTTCTGGTTTTACTTGATGAGATACAAGGCGAGAGTTGGGAATTGACGGGGTGTTGGGGGTCGGAGAGTATGGTTTTACACCATTTCTCGCATGTATTCAGATGCCTATCAATTAATGTAGTGACGAGCTGACCGAGTTTTACACCACTAGTCCTACTAACTACCTTCAACACCAGGAAAGACTAACGGGGAGCAGTAAAGTAGAATAGGTAAGATACAAGAGTTGACAAATTGTGTTTAGTCCTCCGTTTGGTGTAGACTGAATTGACAATCGGTCAACTTTGAAATGTGGTCATCATACTAGGTGAATCATCATCGTAGTACACTTTGAATTGCTGATTTAAGGAAGCTTTGGATCTGGGTTTCGTGAATCTTAATACTCAGCAGTCAGCGAGGCGTATCTGCAATCTTGAACAAACTTATTTGCTTTCTGAAACTCGAACCCTGGTTACGCAGCTCTGCAGTCGGAGATGTTACTACTGAGCTGACCAGTGTCAGCAGACATGAAACTTAGACCCAAGGTTTTCTGCCGAATGCGTTCAATTATCTAATAACAACAGTTCAAAGTGTACCGTGATAATGAGCGAACTAGGTATGGTGGCTACGCTGAGAACTTCATTGATAGAAGTCAGTTTTTACTCGTAGAGACCTAGTTAGTAGCTGGATCCCGTGGCTCAGCTGTACGAAGCCGAATAACTCTGTTTTGAAGTGGCTGGTCCGATCCCACTGTAATACAGATCTTCCTGCCACCTTTACTTATCATCCACCACAAAACATTGATTGATTTCCGCATCTGATTCATTTCATCATATTCTAAAAGTTTCGTCTGTTAGTCTTGTTAAATTGAAAAAAATATTCGACTCTAATGTGATTTCGGATTATCTCTGCATTTAAATGGGACAAGATGAATTTTAGGGACGGTTTCGAGGTTTCCATTGATGAATATTTTTGTTATTTTGCCATTGCAGGCGGCATTTTTAGCGTAGTTAAGCGGTATAATGCTCGCACACTGTACAGGGATCGAGTCCCAACCTGTGCAAACATTTACTTTCCTTAGCCAGTTGTAAGCCCGATAAGCAGGAAATGGGTGGGTGTGAGGCTAGCAGCCGCTGATACTCCAAAGCTGAAGCCTGAAGACTTATGTTCTACCGGGAATGAAAAGCAATGGAAAGAGTTTTAAAAAATAACTTAGACAGTATTCTACAATACTACACAATATTTCAGTAAATGGAGATTTTTTGTCCGTCAATATAGGAGATGATGAACTATTTTATTTTTTATTTTATTTTTTTATTTTTATTACAGCTTGATGCCACACTGTATTTTCAGTACAAGTATGGAATTTTCAGCATGGATATCGGTAGCCCAAATTTCAGGCCGACCATAGATATCGGGTGTGCGCCGGTAGGGGATCGAACCCCGGACCATGTGCATGGTCGGCGAGAGTCCTAACCACTGTGCCACCGACGCACATCGGGATAATCAATGTAAAGACACAACAGATTAGGGAATCATCAACAACACGATGCAAATAACAGAATAGAACTACACAAATTGATCACAGTGCCTGATTTAAAGACAATGAAGGTGAGAAGGCTAGGAAAACACAGAGAAGGACTAGACAAACCCTGTTCCGGGCATAGAATTCGTTCAACCCATTCTCTTTTAACCTTTTTTCAAATGTCATACTCATGTCACCTTCATTGTCATTAAAATCACATGCCTGTAACACTTTCCATGACCCCAAGTGCGTAACTTCCATTGAGTCTCGCTGATTATCACGCAATCTCTTCTGACCAACTTGTAAAGAATCACACGTATATACATTTTTTCTACTTACTTATTTACTACCAGTAAATATCATGCGTCAAGTTTACTGAGGAGGGGGCAAAGAACACTTTACCAGTAGTTATCACCATTTAAATCCATAAGTAAAAACCACTCTTCTACCTAGGTTAGATGATTGTTCCTTTTGGGGAACGAAATGTAGTCACAGTGTGCTCATTCCGAGAGGCAGGACAATGATTTGAAAGATATTTATCAATCGGTGACATCTTAAAAGGAGTAGCATGTAAAACTTCCTGAAGACACAATGCTTACGAACTGTTCAGATGGAGCCAGAAAAACATTTAAAAAATACTTACGACAAATTGTGACTTGTATTCTATTTTAAAAGTTTCTTTATTAATAACAAGGACAGAATTATGATAAAAGCAGTTATCGAAAGTCAGTAACTTTGCAGATGACTTCCCTAGATTTAAACCTTAAAGTATGAGGTTTGAGGTCGTAGCTCAGAGAACGGTAGAAAGAGAGACAGAGGTAAATTTCTGCGCTTCCTTGACTGCTGTACTAGGTGACACACGTTCATTAAATAGTCCGGTAGATATGCCTTCCTGACGAGTGTTAGGAAATCTTATCGACTTCGTCCAAGTACCTAATATTATTTCAGAGTGAACTGCTACGATGAGTCTTTTACCTTGTTCACAGCAATGGAAACTTGAGATTTCGACAACACAATAAGAAGACGTAGTTTATCTGAAACGTGTAATGTATTGGTGCAACATATTTCGGACATTCTGATCACACACGCACTTGTCATACACAGTTTATATATAATGCAAGAAGGCATGAATAATTACAATACAGATCAGATTGTATACAGGTCAAGGTCACAAATAATGAGTAGGGAGACACAAAAGATGTGGGTAAGAAAGATGCTGTTCTGTAAACCCTCACATTATCCGAACAATAGTGTCACATCCCACTGTGTTTATCAATTTACATGTATGTGTGGAGACACGTACATAGAGAGGACCCATCGTCCTCTGCAGGTTAGGCTACAGAACACATTCCAAAGTGGTTGCAACAACAAATGAAATCGCCAGACACAACTGAACCCGGAAATAGATGTCCAACATCATCTATAGCCAAGCATATTATAGAGACGGGTCATACGGCTGATGTCAACAATGCCTTCAAGCCGATATATAAAACAAGGTTGGGCCACATACTTAAATTCATTGAAGCCTTAGCCATAAAAAGACTTAAACCTGTCTTATGTGTCCAAAAATTATTTGTTTATCACCTTAAACCTGCCTTGGTATTCCAATTTAGAACCAAGGACCAATTTACTTCATAATATTTTCAACCCCTTCTTTGCTTTGTTTTTTTCTCCTTTTATCTTTCTTACCGACATCTTTTGCGTCTCCCTACTCATTATTTGTGACCTTGACCTGTATACAATCTGATCTGTATTGTAATTATTCATGCCTTCTTGCATTATATATAAACTGTGTATGACAAGTGCGTGTGTGATCAGAATGTCCGAAATGTGTTGCGCCAATACATTACACGTTTTAGATAAACTACGTCTTCTTATTGTGTTGTCGAAATTCATAAAGGGAACTAAATGCTTTAAATTTTTGAAGGGAAACTTGAGAGTTAAAGTTTACAAGTATTGGTTTTGTAGGGATTTGGTCTATTCAAAAAACTAAAAGGCATGACAGTTGTTTTACTGTTTTGCTAGAAGTCAGACAGAAATGTTTCAAGTAGACATTTTTTGAAATCTCTTAAGCTAAATTGACGAAATTTTGTCCCAACAAGTTGACAGGTAACTGAAGAGCAACTAAAACCGCAGAAGAACTGATCCTTTTACTTACTATTCATGTCCTCAATTATGCTACAAAAAATATTCCAGTGCTTTCACTGACGAAATATTCTTCCTTTTATATTCCTCTTATTTGTTAATAGGAACCTATAGCAGCAGCTTTACTAGCCTCAATACTTTTAACATCTTTGGGGAATAAAACAGATGACTTTACAGATAAAGAAGATTATAGAAGCTTTGCAAAGTAAGTTGACTTTTTATCATATCGTAAGGCTTTTCTTCTTGTGAAGAATAAACTGTACGGTTTGAATGGTATTCACCTGTTTGTCCAAGTGTTAATGAAGAATATTCATCATGTATTGACTTATCGTAATGTGTAGCTATTGATTTGTCTAAAATGGATATTTTGTGAGTAGTAATTAACAGCAATCATTGCTAGCCAGTTAGCCTATTGGCAGTTGTACTTCTTAAGTAAAAACACAGTTTTTTGTTCAGCGAAGAAATTTCTTTTCAACGACTTCATCTTCAAGCTGTACAGTCGTATTCATATTACAGAAAAGGTTATTAAGTGGCACTAAATAATTGCTCAGTCAATATACATATATAAGTGATAAGAATAACGATAATTATAATGTTATAAGGGGTAGAGTTGAAGTGGATAAATTACAAAATTATTAAAGATTGTTTCATAAGTGAATTGAAATCAAAAAACTAGAAAGAACATTACTATGACCAAGGTGAAGAAAGGGGTTTGACAAAACGTTTTGGAACACATAATTTAGGTTTCTGTTCATGTATAGCTAAAGCTTCGGCTATGCATAAGTGAAGAAAACGTAAACTTTTGGATCGATTCGATTTTGCCATGTAGATAACTTTGAAAGATGAATCACGTGGGGCTAGATGACCTTACTCTAACAGGTGATCACAGATAGACGACTTCGCAGTTCTACGTTCACCTTTCATTAACCAGACTGGATAGTGTTCAGCTACACGTTTTCGGAGATTACTTCTATTGAGGACATAACTAAAGCGTCACTTCGAAAACAATAATTCATATATTTAGACGTTTAAGCTCCTTCGTTTTATGGGAGAAAATATATATCGCGAAGATAGTGAATGGTATTTTAAAGTTTTTAGTATTTACGATACGTCATACACACAGGATATTATCATTGAATAGTATCAAATACATTTATAGTCTGTTGCTTCTTAGATGGTTGGAGGCAATCGACGCCATAGGAAGCCTGGTACCTAGATTTCGTGCTAGTTGGTACTCACCAGTCAACAAGGCGTATCTGCAGTCTCGAATGAACTCATGTCCATTCTGAGATTCGAACCCACGTCACTCAGAGAGTGCTGCAGTCAGAGACGTTACCACTGAGTTGTTCGGGCTAGCGAATGAACTCCTGATTGGACACTGGTTAATAACGGAATGTTCTGTCTTATTTTCTTTCTTTCGTTGAATAGGAATTTTCAAGAACGTGCAGAAGGTGTATTGAATGAATGTTATCGAGAGGATGAACATCGTACACAGTTGATCATTAATCATGAATTAATCTACTACGGTCGTAGTTCAGTGATTAAATTAGCTGCTGAAGGACAAAGTATTAAATTTATGGCCCATCCATGCTGTCAAGATTTCCTTACCAATACATGGAGTGGTAATCTGTCAACAAAGAATAGTGTATTTCGGGTAATTTCATTTTGATTTGTAGAAGTTACTACCTTGAATTTTGTTCCATTCTGATGAGTAGAGTTAGGCAAATATTATTTATTTATGTCAATTTATATTTCCTGTGGAGTAATTATATTGGGCAGGAATGCTCTTGCTGTCTCTCCGCTGACATATGGACTACCAATAAGCGTTCAATTCTTAGTGGATACACCACCACCCATGACGGATGCAGGTACATCTTGTCGACGAGTCCCAAATAAGGTGAAATGCATATCTTGGGTTCCACTGCCAACAGCCAATCAACAACCATAACAAACATTATTTCAAAAGGAGGCTCCTTCCGTCATCTACTGGCTGTGTCAACGAAAATTTAATGTTCTAAGGTTTAGTTTTACGTTCTTGGAGAGAGCTTTTGATGTCGGACACTCAATTATCATGATCCGCCTTCTTTGGTTGTCACTGATATTTGCACATATTAGATTTAAAATTCATGTTAAGTTTTGAATCGTCTGGCTACGGTCCTATCACGCCATGTACTACTTATAAACAAATATAAATAGTATGTAGAATCGCGTCTCCTGAAGATCAGTGATGATTTATGCGTCAGGTGAGAAACCGCTGAGGAAGAGATATGCGAAGGAAGTTAAAACACTCAAAGGAACTTAAGGAGCTCCATATTAGTGTGAAACATTATTATAAACTGGATGAAAAAGTTTCGAACACAGTCTATTATTGTTCATAATCAAATGACTTCGAAACTTCGGTTTTATAGTTTTTTTTGCTCTCTCCTATTTGTCATAGGGGTAGTAGAATTTTCCACATGTTCGACTGGACAGGTGTTGAATCACCCGTATTACACGTGTTGGCAGTTGACTCGAAGATTTTATTACCGAAACTAAACATTCAGACGGCTATTTGGATTTCCTACCATCTCACTCTATGCCAGTGAAATTAGGAGTGGTGAAGTGTTTAGGTAATAGAGCACAAAAACTAAGTGGTACCAAGGAAAATCTAAGACAAGAGATGAGGCATATAAGAGAAGCTCTGAAACTTAATAATTACTCTGATAAGTTAATCGGGAAGTATGTAGGGAAGTGTAAAAGTAAAATAAATAATGTTAGTAGTGATAGTGGTAATAATAATAATAGTAATTATGTTAATGACGACGTGCATGTCAAATATGCTCAAGACAGCACCAACAATAAGGAATCTAAATCGTCAGTAGTAATCCCATACACAGAAGGAACCTCGGAAACCTAACGCAGAATTCTTAACAGAGCAGGAATAAAAGTAGCATTCAAACCCACAAACCCAATTAGAAACTAGCTTTGTCGGTTAAAGGATCCTGTAGAGCCTTTAAAACAAAACAATTCACTTTGTTTAATACCCTACAATAACTGTCAGGTCAAATACATAGGTCAAACTAGTAGAACAGGGTCAGTCAGTCAGACTAGCCGAGCACAAAAACCTAGCAAAATCTAGATTGGTTGACCCAAATAAGATATGAAATCTGGAAAATAGTTCAGCCATGGGACTCACTGCATGCAACTACACACAACTCTGAAATAGGATGAGATAGGATGACAGTTTTTAAATCTGATGTAACAGGGTGGAGGGGGAGATTGATAAGGGAAACTTTGTTTATCGAATCAACTGCAAATACGTGCATTAGGAATGATTCAAAACCCGCCAACTCAGGCATGTGGAAAATTTCACTACCCTTTACGACAAATAGGAGAGAACAAAAAATATATAAAATTCAAGTGTCAAAGTCGTGTGATTGCAATTGATATGATTATGAACAATAATAGACTGTGTTCGAAACTTTGTCATCCAGTAAATAATACTGTTTCACAGTGTGTGATATATCTAATAAACAAACTAACATGGAATTACATACTACGACAGTGCCCAGTTTTACACGCATATTAATAGAACTTAAAGAGCAACAGAAAAATAGGAGAAAAAGAGCATCTAATGTATAATGGATGATACTATTGGAATGTTTTGAAAGCGATGTAGTGATCTGACATTTTCCTAATGTCCCATGTAATTTTTCCCCGACTACAGTCTTGACCGACGGCTGGTTTCATCCTACACTGAGTCTGAATATCATGTCAGGGGCTTTACTCTAAACAGTACATGCGATACAATGTGAAATCTTCAGTACCATATTGTAGCTAATTTTCTCTCTACATAATACAAGGTGACATATTTAAACAGGGCATTTACGCTGATAATGATGTTCAAAAGGGTATGCTGAGAATTCCATTCTGTATCACAAGTACTGTTTTGGAATAAAGCAAATTATTATTATTATCATTATGAACATAAAATTAAAATTTAAGCGAAAATATTAACAAGAGTATATTACTGAAGGAGAGAATAAAAAGTATCGTTTACTTAGTGTTTCCCAGTAAATTAATAGTGTCATTCCTCATCACATAAAATTTGTTCTAAATAAGGTATTATAGAATTTTTTATGCTTAGCTGTCCAAGCATATAGTCTTCTATTGTTACTTCTAGTTCTACGTACCTGATAAGATGCACGGGGAAAGTGGTGTATACAGAGGATGTCAAGGAACTTAGTCCTAAGTTCCTATTGTAACGAAGACGCTTTGAACCGATAATGACTATGTATTTTCCGACTTTAACTCCAAAACACCAGTATTCTTTGAACAAATTTACATTGTTTGGCAATTAAAGCATGATAAAGTACAAAGTCTACAAGCAAATGTTTAGTACGAATGAAGTTATAAAGTACTTTTATTCGTGTTCTTTCTTCCGTCTTCCAACTTGCATGCGATCGTACCATCCGCGCCTTCGAGTCGCCCACCAATGGCTGCCAGTTCCAATAGACAAACGTTCAATGTTCACGTCCATTGACAGAGGATGTTCAGAGTCCAACAAGACAATATTTGTTAATTTCTTGCATGAGTTCGTGTGTCTATCTAGAAAAGTATTAACAAGTTGGTTTAACGAAACCCCACTCGTCTTACCAACAGCCTCTATCTTCTACCATCTCGGGATTTTTAGCGCGACCACCAAGTAGAAGTTAGAATTCATGGACCATTGACTCGGTACCCGGTGGCTGAACGGTCTATAAGCTTGCCTTGTGACCGGAAGATCGTGGTTCCGAAACCCAGTGGTTGCGTACTGCCGATACACTCCAAACTAGGATGAAACAGCTTTCCAGTACTCTCAGCTGGTTTTCAATAGTTCTGATTGATTCTAATTGATATCAATCCCTTGTCAAACTCGAAAAACAAATCAGATCCTTACAAATCAACTCTTGAAAATAATTATAAATTTCTCTTATTTTCTTAAACTTTTATTATGAATTATTATGTTATTAACAGTTTGTACTTTTACATGTACGTGTTCATCAGGTCGTAATCCACATATAATAATAACATCTTTATTGTAAACAGTGTTTATATAATGTACAGAATTTTCAGCGGAGTTTATTCCATGATCATTTCTCTTCGTCCACGATCTTCAGACAGAATATTAATTGACAGTAGATTGTGTGATACAATTCCTTCTGTCGGACCTGAAGCGCAAACCATTCCATCATTACGATATCTCTCCTTTTTTCTTCTTTGAGAGAAACACGACATTTAATTGAATGGCAATTATAAAGAGTTCAGGAGTATATTTGATGAACCAAGGACACCACTCAGGAACCGTCCCCTCATGTATTGGAATAAGCTTCCATCAAGAATAAGACGTTTTCCCACGTTTCGTAGGAACTTGAGAATGAGCAGTTTACAAATGTTTTAAATACTCGCCAAAGTTATCAATACTGTTAGAGGTCATAGTTTACTAGATTTAAACAAACTAAATAGGGGAAATTATATGTAATATGCAATGATGGAGGTTTAAAGTAGCCCAAGTTTTAAGCAGGCTTTCTTATTAGTCAATTCTGTACATATCAAAAGACTTATTTTGTGTTGATAATACCACTGACTTGTATTCGACTATTCTGAACTGTCAAACTGTACCAAAATATTGAAGTTTGTATGAATTTTCGAGACTTAAAAGTAAACGAAATGAAATCAGTGTAATTCATCTCATAGTGTTTGTTATTCTGCTAAGTTTATTTTCATTCTTACTGTCAAAGACAATAATAATGCTTTCAATATACTAGATAATATCCACTTTGTAGAAAAAGTTGATTACATTGACCATTATTAGAGCAGTTACACAGTGATCAAATTGTCACTTATTGGGCTGTCATAAACTTTACTCCTCATTATACCGTGAATGTATATTTCTGTCAACCTCCCATCCCCATATACAAGAAGGGAGACAAGTTTTCCTGTGATGATTACAGGGGGATTAACTTGACTAATATGATATCTAAAGTTCTAGGCTCAATAATCATGCTTAAACTAAGCGGTCCACGGGAGGAACAAATATGAGAGAACCATGCAGGCAGGCTTCAGACCAGGAAGAGGGTGTATTGATCATACCTTCACCCCATTTCTATTCAATTTCATCATAGATGTACTGATGGAATTAACCCTAACTGACTTCAGCGACTCAGGGATTGACTTGCTACCACCAGGGAATAATCTCGTTGACTTAGAATATGCAGATGGTATACGCCTCTCTTCTAAGCGAAGACACTGACAAAATGCAGATAGGGCCTTCTGAGCACCTTGAGTTGCAGTCTGCGAATGTTTGGCATGTGGTTCGCTCCCGTCAAATGTAAGATGATGTCACAGGATGGACTGGACTACAGTGACTCACTCCTAGCTTAGAAATAGGGAGTGAAGTGGTTGGTAGAGCACGTTGACCACTTCACTTATTTTGAAAGTTGCATCAACCAGCCCCAACGAGTTGACCACTGACGAAATCTCAGCACGGATACAGTAGGCTCGTTTCGCATATGCCAGTTTACGTCTTCTCTGGAGTAGAGGTGATATCCGGCTGGCTACCGACCAAACAACGTATGTGCTGCTCAGCATTCCGCCTCGTCCTCCTTTATGGCTGCGAGATCTAGCCAGTGAAAGCGGAAGACATGAAAATCCCGGCTAGTTGTCTTTGATCATAGATGCCTGCGTTCTATTTCCCGTGTGAAGTGGTATATAAGGTGAGTAATACTGAGTCCAGGCATCGATCGAGTGCAAGGTAAGGAGGGCAAATCAATAGATGAGGCTGTGAAGTTATGTCGACGGTGACTTGAACTGGTACACACCGCTGCAAAGTTCTATGTTGAAAACAGACAGACAGACACCCTCTAAAAGGTTGTTTTTAGTGAGTCCCCCAGTTGAAAGAACTCTTGAAACAATGCACATGCATGGGTTAAGTTACTCTGAGTACGTCTTTGTTTAACCCCAGATAATTGAAAGGATGTCCAACCACTTCAGTCACCGAATTCTGATGAGATATGCTTTAGAATTATTCATGCTGACTGCCTGTACATATTCGATCAGTGTGCTGCATTACAGGAACACAATACTGGCACGGTTTTCACTTCAATGTATCTCAGTATTGTTCATATTAGCTTTCATTTATCTATTGTTGAATAACTGCTTTTATATTTTATTCTTTTTCTATTGATATTGTATAGTATTTTCTGGGAATCGTTTGTGGTTTGACATTACCATTTCTAATCCCTAAAATCATCTTATCCAAACCAAAATCTGGTCATACAGTTGAAGGAGAGGTAAGCAAATGAATTTTATATTGCTAATGAATTACCTCCAAACTTTTATATTCTTATCTTCTTACCTCTTAATTTTATAACATAATAAACTTACTTATAAAAAGATTTTATGAAGACACCTTTCTTCATATCTTGTGTGGTATTTATTTTCATTCTAAAATCACATCATCAGTCTTCAAATTCTGCCTAATTTCTTGGCTGCCAGACAGTCAAAACTCTGCTCCATCTCAGTGGTTCTTGTAAGCACCATCTCTAGACGTGAAATGTTTTGAATAAGGCTGATCTTCATACCTCTTCCCATTCGCTTTCCACTCGGGGACCCAGCGTGTAATGTTCTCCTAAAAATACGTTGGTGGTGAACTTTCTGATACAGTTTCTTGTCGCTTATCCATTTTTGAACCACCTTCAGATCTTCAGTTTCGAGAGAAGACGTGTATTGATGAAATTATTCACTTATAGATGTACAGTAATTCCTGTATACTGACTTCAAATCACCAGAATACACCATGGTGCATTAACTATACTTGAATCAATCTATTTAGGCAGTCTGGTGGATAGAGCTACACTTTTGGATCACTTCTGCACGTCACAAGGCTCATATGCACCAAGTTGAAGGTTCATCTCCGTAAAGAATTTTAAGTGAGTTGAAAGCTCATTCTGGATCCTGTACTAATCATCACCGCTAAACAAATGTTACAACGAATTATTCGTTCTCATACTTTCCAGAATATCTTTCATAGAAAAAGAACTTTAAAACAAAATATGCACGTAGAATTTATCAGTTATAATAGAAATAATCGATCTGTCTAAGCCATATTGATTTTAATTGACTGTTTTCAGAAGCCATACACTCTTAGATCGATTAGTCCGATGTTATATACTACTGAAGTGAACTAAGTAGTTGAAAACTACTCATGGCAACAAGTAGAGCATGACAGCTAGATTGAGTTGATTAAAACACCAGACTGCATCTCCACTGGTTCTGTACCCATTTTGATCAAACCTGAGGAACTAGATCAGCATATAGCACATTGCAATATTTTGATTGAACACTAGTAACTAGTGTGATGTGTCTAGTCCTTTGTTTACTGCAGATTGAATTCTATCAGTCAACTTTGCAATGTGGCCACCATTCTAGGTAGCTCGCCATCACGGTGCACATTGATTTGATAATAAAAGATGGTTGGAAGCAGTCTTACAGGAGGTCAATCGCGAGCCCGAATGGCTCGTTGGTAATGTCTCTGACTGCAGTATTGGGTGACGCGGGTTCGAATCTCAGAAGGGTTCCTTCGAGGTTGCACAGACGCCTTGCTGACTGGTGAGTGCCAACTAGCACGAAACCTAGGTGTAAGGCTTGCTATGGCCGATTGACTCCAACCGTCTAACACTGTAATATTTCTATTTATGGCATCAAACAGATCATGGATTGTGATCTCAATAATTTCGTTATGAAAAAGGTATCTGCGGTTAACTCCACTGTTGATTGACTTACTGGTATCGCTGAGCCATCAACTCACCGATAATCATATTCAGTAGTGAATTAATGACATGTATTCACTAGTAAAGATAGTATAAGTAATATGTATTGTCATACTGGTGTTATTGTATGCTTCTCCATTCTGACGTTAGTACTAGATATGCTGTCTAGAAAGATAATAAAAGCTTCGCAGTTAAACTATACAGTTAAGAGAACACAACAACACCAGTATCATTCCGCTGATCTACAAGTTATTAGGGTAGTGCGTCGGTGGCACAGAGGATAGGAATCTCGCCGACCATGCACATGGCCGGGGATTCGATCCCCTGACGATGCACACCTGATATGAATTGGTCGGTCTACAAAATTTGGGCTAACGATATCAGACGCTGAAAATTCCATACTCAAAACCAATAATACCGTGTGGAATTAGGTTATATTCAGAAAAACGTATTCATCTTAGGGAATGTTCACTTATGGTAGGTTATCTTCATGTCTTCTATATGTTTATTTAATGATATATAACAAAGTGTATTTTTCATTGACCTCTAGGAATCCGTTGCTGCTTCTGAACATCATGCCTCTGCACATGATCATATTTCAACATATACAAATGTAGAAGATGCTGGTAAAAAAGGGTAAGTTAACCAGTAAATAATGAATCTCATGTTTTTACTTTACTTTGCAGTACCAGTCAACTTTAGAAACATAATTAAAGTCCTGCGAAAGTCACTTGAATTAGGCATTTCTCTTTTAAGTCTTGAAATCCGTGTACATTACTCATAAATCTGAGTTGTTTTCAAGATTGATGACGAACTGACTTCAGTGATAGGACCATTGGAAACCAGTTAGTTCCAGACGTCTGTTTCGTCTTTGTTTGAGATTCTTCGGCTGTATGCACCCCTAACCTCAGGAGGGATCGGACACAAGATCTCCAGCTTACAAAGCAAGCTCGTTTACCACTCAGCCACATAGATTAGATCCAATTTCCCGTCAATGTTGACTTCTGTAAATGTTATATATATATATATATATAATGTAGATTGATGTAAAGCAGATGAGTGGTCTACATGAACGCATATACTCCACCGGTTGATGGTTCAGCTAGGTAAATCAGATAGCTTACCAATACATAGTCATTTCACTGCCCATAATTAAAATTAGGACGCTACTACATTTGTCAGCTATCTTCAGATTTTCATAAAAGTGTTGATATAGATGACAAACGACGGTACGATAATGGTGCAGTGGATTTAAAATGAAATATTGCGGTGAATACCGAATATGAGGATAAGTGGATTAGCATAGATGTAGACCCATTAAGAGTCTATGAGGTTATTGTAATTAATGATGAAAATAAGAGCCAATTAGACGTAAAAGACAGTCATGACAAGTAATTATTATTGTTCCCTTAGGTTCAAAATAGAACATAGGCCTTCAACTGCACATCTCCTATTTGTCCTATTCTCGACAATCTTCTTTGGCTGTTCTCAAGATTGCCCATAGTCTCTCATCTCCATCTCGCCACATGATCTCCTGCATGTCACCCTGGCGACACGCGCTCAATATGCCGTTTCCCCTTCGGGTTCCAGTCGAGCGGTGTCCTGGCGCGTGATGTCAATCGACGGCCTCCTCAGTGACATGTGTCTGATCTACCTCCATTTCCGGAATATTTTCTCAGCATTAGGTTTTTAGTTGGCTTGTTCTCAAAGATCCTTGTTTCAGTATGGAGCTGGTGAAGGCAGATATTGAGAAAATGTTTGTAGTAGGCTGTTGGAAATGCTTTCCGTAACACACCGGCCAAGATTCTGACTCATATAGAAGAAGTGACTGACTTAACATTGGTGTTGAAAATCTGAATCTTGTACTCTGTGCTGAGTACAGAAGATTTGGAAACTAATTTCAGAGTGGTGAAAGTGTGCCCTGCCTTTCCGATCCTGACTGGTTATAACACCCGCATCTGTGTCGCCTATAGTTGGTAAGTTATAGCACACACCTATTGGATTTATAGTAAACAACGACCCCTGGAAGCTGAGGTTGATTGGAATAACAGTTGAGAGAGAGAGAGTCAGTTAATTTGTCCATCTACAATGCAAATAGTTCAAAACAATATTCTTTTGACAGGCATTTGGAGTAGTCTCTAATTACTGATTGTAACTTAACTGGGGTAATGATACAGGGCCTTCGAATAAGCGATGAGGATAAGAAAGTTGCATAAACCGAAAACCATATGATTTTTTCTTATCTTTACTACTCATTATAACACAACAAACAATTTAAGTAGTTTCGAAGTAATTCGCTTGCCTTTTTCATTTCATTTTCAGTGTACGTAAAACACTTAAAGTTAGAACATTAGAATTTATTTCACAGATTCGTGATTTCTATATGGCACCTGTTATTCGTTTTGTGTATAATACTGTAAGTCGAAATATTCTCTTTTCTCATATTTATGCTTTTTCGATAATGCATTCATGATAGCACCTATCAAAAGTTTACTTTATCTCATCATCTGACTACCCCATTAACAGTCGGTAGAATAAATCTCTGACTAGCAAAACTGTCCTCTAAAGGGCTAATGAATGCACATATTACTTATTGACTAATACTTGATTCTGCTGGACAGAGATGTTCAGCCTTAGTTACATATAAACTTTCTGAAAAATGTATGACTATTAGAGTATACCACTTTCGATATTCATCAATTAGGTAGGTTTCAGTGTTTTGCCATGAACCTTATTTAGTTCAATTTCGATTTTCCTGTCGATTGATTGGACTGAAGTGCTCGGTCTCAGGTTGATATGTTGACTTCTTGTACAGATGCTTCGACAACATCTGGTCATGTAACTAGAAGTCAGCTGGTGGATGGTGGATGGTGCAGTCAATCGACGGGAAAATCTAAAATGAGTCAATTATTTAATAAGAGCTGTTGCACAAGAGGTGGTTGTTGTGGCCCAAGTGGTCTAGTAGATAACGCTTTGGCGTTTGAAACTGTGGGCACTGGATTTGAGCCCCGATGGGAACAACATCACTCAGTGGGGAATGCAGGTATGTCCAGCCAACGACTCCTAGATAGGACGAAATGCGCATCCTGGATTACAATGCTAGTCATCACCCACCATTTGGCCACGAACCTTATGTCTATCCTTTAAACGCCCAAGTCGTTTACAATGGGGTATTTCTAGTCCCCATCAGGACTAAGGTATGAAAATGAATTCCAAAGTGCGTTTTTAGCATTCGTTTGAGTAGTTCATAGGCCTGAAGTGACCTCAGATATCACTCAAACAAAAGATACTTCCAAATAAAAGATTGAACATCACAAGCTGAGTGAAGATGGCAAAGGAACAAAATAGTGACCGAGGTGACTACTTGTCAGAAAGGCTTCAACAGGAGCACCCATTAAGCATTAATGTTTTCTGTAGGGTCTCAGGCTTTAGCTTTAAATTTTCAGTAGCAATGGCGTTTTTAAGGGGTGGGGTTGCTGGTCTAATGCCCGACCTTATTTTTGTCGGGATTGTGACCGGCTAAGGGAGGCAAAGGTGTGCGTTGGCCGTGACTATTACCCCAGACCACGGCCTTGGTCGGCCGGTGCCCTATCGCTGAACCAGCGGTGGTTCTGCAGATATATTTGAACTGAACTGGTCAATCCCACTTTGACATATGCGTTGCTTAAGTGAATGCATCAATATTATCAGAATTAATATCTTAGAGTTACTTGTTTTGCTGGTTGCTAGATGTAAGTAGATTCCTGGACGCACATTTCGTCCAACACGAGACTTTTCAATTAGGATTATTGGGGTTTTCATTCAAGGAGATCACGAACCGAAATGAGACTAACCGATGTAGTTCAGATTTTTCCATTTGTTTATTTAAATTTTAATCCTGTAAGTTATAACTGGAACATAGAGCTTCGAGCTTGGACTTACAAGTTTCAGTAGCAGTGGTGTTTATGGTTTTTTATTAAGAGGTGGAGTTGCTAACCTCACGCCCAACAATCCTACATTGCAAGTCGAAGTGACGTTTACTTGTGCATCAGCTGGGGATCAAAACCTGAACCACGTGAGGAGTGATTGGAGAGTATTCTACCGATGAACAACATGATTTATCACCAAGAAATCACAAATATAGATAAGTAGTTCTAGAGGCAACTTATCGCATAAGAAGTGCCTTTCGTGGTCCATTAGTCTTTTTCTATTAGAAATTGTAGCGTGTAAAGTATGCTCTTGGCAGTGTTCCTTTTGAACAAAGAAAGAAGAAACACTGGCGCAGAATAATCTGGATCCATTTTATTTCGCCGGTTCTCATCAGCTGCGTACAACCTAAATTCCTTAGTAAAATAAAAAGTGTACAATTTTAACAAACTTTTGTCCATTAGCAAGCATATTGTCAAAGCGTCATAGGGAAATAAGGCTTTGCGATTTACAAGGTGTCGAAAGTGTTACGACATAAATATCTTGTAGAGAGACGTTTCTTGAAGAAAATATTAACTAACAGTTGTGTTGTTGAGGTGGAAACAAAAGAAAATTAGTAATAGTTACGTAATTGTATAAGTAAAGATCAAAATTTTTCGGTACACATGAGGTTAGATGAGAAGTTGATGATATAATACAGTGAGCAGAACTCAGAAGACCAAGAAAAATTATCTCTTAAGAGAGTTAAGCGAAAAATAAAGTGGGGGCGGAGAGTGGAAAGATAAGTTAACAAAATTAGAAAACAAAGAGTTACCAAGAAGTGAGTCACCAAGGTAAATGAAGCCCAACAACGGATTCTTCTTGGACACATAAGTCAGGTTTCAATCGTTTTATTGCTATAGCTTCAAAAAACCTGAGAAAACTTGAGGTACTTTGTCTGTTAATTATTTTGAATGATTCCAGCACATCGAATCGGTGTCCTGTGTCAATCAGGTGTTTGACGATTGAAGAGCTTAAACAATTCCGTCCCTTTAACCGGAGGCTCCTTGGTATATGTTCGCAGAATCTGACGTAGACCATCCTCTCTGTTCTTCCTATGTAACTGCTTCCGCAAATACATGTGAATTGGTATACACAGTTGGAGGTAACATGTGAGGGGTGCTTGTCAGTCTTTGACTGCACCAGTGAGGAGGTTGTTCGGGGTAGAGAAACTAATAATGCTGCATGATACGTCCTAGACAGGGCTGCGCTTAATCTTTTATTTACCATTCTCATAATGTCGTTGACCTTGTAGTCAAGTTTGTTGTGTATGGTCTTTTTCCCTAAACTTGAAATTATGATGGCTAAACAGAAGAATAAAATTCCAAGGTTAGATTATTTAACTTGAAAAAAGAAAGAGCAACAGTTTGTGCAGAATAAAATGGTACAATCATCTATTTCGTCAGCTTCTCATCAGCTGCTTACAGCTCAAAGACATTTTCAAGTTTATCTACAGAAACAATCTTAACATACTTGCACAGACAGTTCAGGTTTAAACAAAAATCAATCAGTATATGCATACAATGCTAATAATAATCATACACAATGGAATCTTTTGGCGTTGCGTAATCAGATGAAGGGAAGGATGAAAGCATTCAGTTACTAGAATGGGCAAGGAAAGACTGATAACTGCTTCTTTCTGAGCACATGCATAAATCGGGTTTCAAGCGCTTGTTATGGGTTGCTTCGGCAAACTTAAGGGGAACTGAACTCTTTCGACTATTGATAAGTTTGAACGATCTTGCGACATCCACCTTATGACCCATGTCAAGGATTATTTACTCAGAAGTTGACCTACGTAACATTCAAAAATTAGACATGATTATATTTCTTCTCTGCCTATCTCATTTTGTTTTATCTTCGCCTTTTTCTTTTCTTTTTCAGCTTTCTTATATGACATTTCTCATCTTGTTCAGTTATCTTTTACTGGTGGATTTCAGGATCAATATAACAGTTGTTGAATATATTGTCATTGCATGGGTGATCACGCTGTTCATAGAAGAAATTAAACAGGTAAAAGAGAAGAAGATTAGCTTTTCTGCTTAGTACCTTTAATTTCTCATTTGATGAAGCTCTTTCAGTACTTCATTATGTCAGTTCTAATGATTCAGATGACAGTGGAAAAGAAGGATTGATCCGGACAAGTATATTTAAAGCTAAGTGGTACATGTTGTCCACTTATGCCTTTTCTGCAGTTTTGCAGTTCACATTCATGAGGAAATTGATTCCTGGCACCACCTTGGTCTGTGTAACGACCAGACTTATTCGGTTTTGGTTTGGGCTCATGCAACCTATCTCTACGTTCTACAGGATAGCCAAGAAAACTTTGTTGAGACACACGCTATCACGAAACTTTTCAAAGGCAGGGAAAAGACGACTATTCGTCAATATTTTAGAAGTCCAATATTGAATAATAATAATGACACCTCAACAATGCCATGAGGAAGCTAGCTATACAGGCAATGTAGGTTTCTAAATACAAAACAAGTAATATAATACAAAATTAGTTAACCAAAGTTCAACTGTAAAAAGTATCTTAGAATCGTGGAGGAGAATATTCCCAGAGAGGTGGGATTAAAAGCTCTGTCCCCAGGAATCACACATCAACGCTTCCCCAAGACAGTCTCAGGACGGAGTGACTTTCATTCACTCAAATAGACTCATATCGTTAAACAACACACTGTCAATGTCCACACAATGCCAAAGAGAAGCAGTACAATTAAAGGTCAAAATCAGCATGTGGTATGCAAATGCCAAATTAATGAGACACAGTCTAAGGGGAAAAGCACATAATAAATAAGGATTAACGGTATATCCAGACCGTCTAGGAGGGATTTTTCAAACAATTTATCCATTGCAGTCTGTTGTTTTCATCTCTGAGTTGAATAATTTAATTACGATGAATTATTCATTATCACTCTAGACAACATTTCCAAGTCTAACTTCATTATGAAGTTGAAGAGCATAACAAACATCATAAATGTTGCATTTTAAGCTTGTTTAGAAGAAGAATTAAACCCTTGCAGTTAAACCAACGTGCTGAGACAGAAAATGACCACAGTAAAACCATTTAACTTGAGCAACAAAACGTTTTCCATCCCCTCATAAATAATTTCTTTTGTCACCTGAATAATTCAACTGAATCAGTAGAGACGATCATATCAGAGGGATTTGAAGGCTGACAGAAGCGAGACTCAGTTTCTAGCTTTTAGAAGTCCGATGATAAAGCGCAGGAAACCTGAGTAAACATAGTATTACTTGTTTAAGACTCTAGTCTCAGTAGAATCACCAACTAACACCAATTTTATACATTTGGTTCCCTTGATAAATTTTGATAGAGAAAGAAAGACCAGATTTGCAGTATGAAATGATATCATTTTATTTCACAGGTTCTCATCAGCTGCAAACTACCTGAAATTACAATGGTTATAATTAATAACACTTCATACTTCATTGTTTGAAAGGTAATAC